GGTTTGGGTTGGAAGGGACCTTGGTGATCTTCTCACTCTGAGCCCTTGCCTTGGGCATGGAGGGATAGCTTGCAGTAGACCTGTTTTTCAGAGCTCAGCTCAGAAGCTGGTCTCATACACAGTGGCAATGGCTCCCCCAGTTGATGGGCTGACCTGGATGATGGTCAAAGGTTGGAGTAACTTGTGATGTGTCTTTCTTCATCACTGTAGGCAGTCTTTTATAATAATGATTAGATGCATTGCCTATCTTATCCTTTTGTAAATATTTGTTAATGATTTGATGTCCTGCTTACTTATCCATTTGCAATTCTTTTGCTGTTTCTGATGCCTTAAGTTTTAGCTTTTATATTTTTCTGATTCTCTGCTGCCTTGTTGCGTAACTCTGAACTTCATATTAAGTGGTGAATATATTCTTTTTACAGGGTAGTTACACAAAACAATCCCTCCTCAGCTTGAGAATCAAAGGCAATCATTACCCAAAAAGAATAAATAAGAGCAAAGTGAAAGAGGCAAGCCAAGACACTTCATGACCTGGAGGTGTAATTGGATAGATAACCCCAATATGTAAATGTACGAAATTGAAAAATTGTAAAAACTCGTGACCAAGATCCATCTTAGATCCAACCTCCTTGTAGCCCTGACCAGGCTCTTGTACAGCCCAAGGTGTATCCCTTAGAGGCCTTTAAATAAATACCAACTTATTTATTTAAATCTGTCTAGTCTCTGTTCCAGATAAACCTCCTCAGGTATCATTTTGAAATATAGTAAATTACATTTATTCCTGCAGTTGGTGTCTGTGTCTTCTGTGCTGACCCTGCCTGCATTAAAAATAGGCATCCACAGCTGCTCTGGAATGCCTGTATCTCGGCAGCCTCACAGTCAAGAATTCCTTCATATGATCTCAGCTGAAGCTATTCTCTGTCACTGTAAAGCCATTGGCCCTTGTCCTGTGAGAACCTGCCCTTGTAAGAAGGTTTTCTGCTGCTTTCTTTAGGGCCCTCTTCTTGCAGGATGAGGCTCTGCAGTCCCTAGGGCAGGCAGCAGCTGAGGAATCCCTTTGGGGCAGGGAGCTGGGTGTGCAGCTGCAGCGCCAGCTGCAGATTGAGCTCTGGCTGGCAGGAGCCTGGGACCAGAGGCTGTGAACTGCCCACACTTTGCATAACAGAGAGCACAGGGAGCTGTGGCACTGGCCAGGGATTTGAAAGAACACAGCGTTGCAGCAGGAGCCAGGGGCTGTTTATGGAATGTGACTTCTGTGAGTCTGCTGGGGGAATCCTGAGGCTGGATGGGTATGGAAGACTGCTCTGACTGGGTGAGAGTGGCGTGGGTAGGGAATCAAACAGGACAACCATCGGCTCATTGGAGCCACCTGCATTTCCAAAATGGTCACACAGGGGAGTTTCCTCAGTACTTTGGCAGCCCAAGGGCAGTACTGCTGGAGCCTCTGTCTTTCAGAGCAGGTACTGCTGAGTTCACCTGGGATCTTTAGAGCAGGAAGGAGCCGAATGGGGAGTGTTAAAATTTCGTGTGCAGATTCTGTGTAAATTATAAGGGTGAATTTGAGCCTTTCTATTATTGTGGCATTTGGTGCAGATTTGGTGAAATCACTGGTAGAGGGTGGAGAAGGCATGCACAGCACGATCAGCATAAGACGGCCACAGAGGAGTTGTGGAGGCCCCTGTAAGGTGCGAGGTGGGGGGCCCTCAGTCTCTGCTAGGACACTCAAGTCTCTGTTCAAAGGCTTTTGGAGACAGGCACAGGGAGAGCCTTGTGTCCCTCATGCCACACAATGGGTGCTAGGGTCCCTGGGCACACACAGAAGGGGGTGGAAGTCCCTTCATGAGGGACTCCTTCAGAAAGGGCTTTCACATGCCTCGAGGTGTTTGATGTGATGGGAAATATCCCTGGTCTAGGTGAGGAAATGTCTGTGGCTGAGGTTGCGCAGAACTGGGAGAAATTGTTTGGGCAGCAGAATTTTGCCAAGAGAGTGCAATAAGGTTCTTCCAGGATGATTGGGCGACACCAAGCTGGTCTGCTCACTGGACAGGGTAACGGCCATCCCCAGCCCTGAGTGACACTCTTTCACTCAGTGTCTTTAGTGACCAGGCAGCCCCTGAAATGTACCTCAAGAAATATTTGAAGAAGCTTATGCCAGGGTGGCAAGGATCAGTACAGATGTGGGGTGGTTGTTCTCAGCACAGCCCATCTTGATTAACACAAAGGGAGGAGTGCCACCTGCTGTGAGACAGGACACCATTGCCCTGGAGATGCCAGATTGATTTTTGCCTTTTTTCTTTCATATATTCTCTGTGTTCTTTACAAATATATTTGTAACTCTGCAGCCTGTTGTTATATCTGTGGCTAGTTTTTCCAGTACTTTTCCCTACCTTTTCTCTAAGCAGAAAGAGAAAACATATGTCAGAGCTCCAAGCCCTGGAGAGTATAAGGCCCCTTAACCTATATTGGTTCTTCATGGGAACCAAGGCTAGAAACAGCTCTTTGAGATACATTTTCATAAACAAAATTTAGTTTCCATCTGTTTGGGGGAGGAATTAGAGACTGTTGAATCGAGGGAGGAATTACTTCACCATGTGGTCCTAATTGGTGATTTTTGTCAAATATGCTAATTTATTAAGCTTATAAAACTGTATTCACCCCACGAAGGGGAGGAATTCTATGGTGATCTGCCATATCTGCCACTGGAGGCCTCCAATAAAGATCAGCCTTAATATTACCTCCTATACTAACATTATGTGGAAAGTGTGTTGTTTTGTTTCTAGGTTCTTTAAGGTATCACTTTGTTATGAGTAAAAAGTTATCTATTTTTTTAAAGGTTTTAGAGTCAAAACAAGTTGAATCAGTTGCCATTAAATTCAAAGTTAGCTTCATGTTGCAGTCACCTATTGTTGAGAGTTTCTCTTCAATTACGTGTTAATTGTTGGGGATCAGCCTGGCTGATTGCCAGGGAGTGACACTGGACCCCTGCAGGTAGCAGGAGAAGGGTGTGACATCAGATCATCGATGAGCTGGACCTTGGCCTCCTGCAGGTGATCACTTGATTGTTGAGCTGTGAACAGAGAAAGGAATAAGCCCCCAGCAGCTCGATATCAGTTTCCTCATCTCTTGGGGGGGAATCCCTTTCCCTAGGGCATGGCTTTTCCGCTACCGAGGCACTGTGGTGCTGTGACCCTAGTGCCAGGCTCTGGGGAGCAGGCCTGGCCCATATCTGCAGAGGTGTATATCCCACAGTCTGGCTTTGGCCTCTGCTGTGGGGAAGCCCAAACCCTCTCCCCAGTGTGCTGAGCTGGCCCAGAAGTCGCTCTTGAAACTCACTTCTTGCAGTAGTGGCACCCCAGCCAGCAATCCAGCAGTTTTGCAGCTCTGAGACTCTTAGGGTGGGGTCAGCCACACAGGCCAGCTGGATGTAGGAGCTGCATTGGACATGATGGTCCAATTGCATCAGGGCAATATCGTAGCTCATGTCAGCAGGATTGTAGTACTCGTGTATCAGCACCTGCTTGACATTGCGCACTGCAGCCCCAGGGCCCGGCTGAGTGAAATGGGTGGCTCCAATCACCACGTAGACCATGCTGATGTTTCTGGAAAGGAGGTGGAGAGAAGGCTGAGAGGGAGCTGAGCCATGTGCCACAGCAGCCCCGCAATTGCCTGACCTTGGCTTGGAAAGGCAGAGAGGGAGCAGTGCTCTGGCAGGAATGAGTGTCCTCACATGCCTTAGGCTGGGGCAATGTCAAGCTGGTAGCTGCTAGGAAGACTTGGCACAAGCTCAGGCTTCTCCTGAGCAGGGTGGCAGCCTGGCTGCCTGACAGGAAAGGGGATGGAAATAGCAGTGGGTGCTAAGCCCACTGCGGTGTTGTGGGGATGTCCCCATTCCCTGCTCCTCCTTACCTGATATCATCGAAGCAGTGGGCTGCTGTGAGGACCCACTCTGTACTGACGAGGGATCCTCCACACATATGTCCCAGGCCTGGTACCCAGGGGTGCTGGATGCTGACCATCCAGGGCCAGGCTGCTTCTGCAGCACCTGTGCCACCCACAACACGTGTCATGCCATAGTCATAAGCCACGTTGCCGTAGGAATAAGTCATGGGGCTCTTGATATATTGTGGAGCTCGGAGTCCGCAGGTCCCTCTGCAAGCAGAAAGTGATTTCCGTGCTGCTTCATGGCCTGCTGTGGCTCAGGCTGAAGCTCAGCCCTCTGCCCTCCCCACAAGGCCTTGCACGCACAGCAGGCCAGGGAAGCCCATGGGGTGTGCGTCTGTCCGTGCCAGCACCTGGTTGCTGGCAAGGAGCTGAGGCTTCCTGTGGTGGGTGGGAAGCTGTGACCCAGCCATGGGGAAAGGCGGGTCCCCTCCAGGGAAGGCCGCAGGTGCTGCAGTGGCTCCTCTCCAGGGCCTGGGGCCACTTACCCACAGTTGTCCCATGTCCCGTGTGCCAGTCCAGCCATGGTCAGCAGGATGAGGAGGCCAAAGCAATTCATGGCTGCCAGAGGCATGTGTCAGCTGCAAGCACTGAGGGCTCCGTGCAGCAACACAGCCACAGTTGCAGTGCCCACAACACTCCTGCTGCCTGTGGTGCCCCTGGGGCTGATGTCACGGCAGGTTGAGTTCCATGTTCTGGGCACTGTGGGGATCTGTGGCACAGGGCCCACTGGGGGAGGGGCAACGTGGAACTGGTGAGCCACAAAATAGTTTGGGTTGGAAGGGACCTTGGTGATCATCTAGCTCAAACCCCCTTGCCTTGGGCATGGAGGGATAGCTTGCAGTAGACCTGGTTGTTCAGAGACTGGCTCAGAAGGTGTCGTTGAACACTTCAAGGTGTGGGGCTACCACAGCTGCTTGGGGCAACCTGGGCCAGTTCCTCAGTATCCTCACCATCAAGAACTCCTTCCCAATATCCCATCTAAAGCTACCCTCTGTCACTGTAAAGACATTGCCCCTTTTCCAGTCAGTACCTGCCCTAGTAAGAAGTCTCTCTGCTGCTTTCTTTAAGTCCCTTTTCTTGTGTGATGAGGGTGTGCAGGCCCTAGGGTCAGCAGTGGCTCTCTTTTCTCACTGCCTGCTAATATCTCACAGGAAAACACCTATCATGGCATCACAGCCTCTTTGAAATTTCACTGCCTCCCTGCTCCTGCTCCTCTCTGCTCTCTACAGTCTTTTTTCCATGAGATTCTTCTCAAAACAGAATCACTCTGAAACAGGGTGCCTTCAGGAAGCATGTGTGTGTTTGAGTCAGGAGCCAGTCCAGTCACAGCCATAATGGGTGAGCATCCACATTTCCAATGTGGATGTTTGAAGAGCAGCTGAGAATGCAGCTGCTTCAGATTCAGCATGGAAAAAAAAATCTCTCCTAATAGCTTTAAATGAACAATAATGAACAATCTGCTACTTATTTAGTTTGATGTTGACAAGTTAGCTTAATTTCTCAGGTGGAAGCATCCTAGAAGATGTTAGTAGTTTTGAATGAGGAACATTGTTTGGAAGTTATACTTCTAGATATTTCTGTAGTGATTGTGAAATTTTTTTGGTGATTTTCTTCTAGAGATGGAGTCATGAAATGTAGGCGTGGTAAAATATGTACGATTTCATATGACTTTTTATTTTGAGAAATCCTGGGTTTAGTGAGTCATGACAGGGATGATACTGACCTAAACAGAGTAGCTGACTTTATTGCTGGGGTGATATGTCAGAATCTTCGCTTGTCTTAAGGTACATCACAATTGCTCCCAGCATGAGTTTGCCAGAAAACTTTGATAACAATGCTGAGTTTTCCAGAATTTCAGCAGCTTATCTGGGAAACCTTACCTGGTATTTCTGGAGCAAACAGAATTTCTTCTAAGACCATACTGACCTTCTGGAAGTGCTTTATGTTTGGCACCTATCTAAAGCAGCTCTCCTTTGGAGCTCTATGAGAAAAGGGGTGAGAGGGGAGAAAAAATGGTTAATTGCTTTGCTTCTCATAGACAAATTTTTTTTTTTTTGTTTAAAGGGACACAGAAAAAGAGATACTGGAAATTGCTATTTTTTAGAAAAATGTAAATGGTTGAAATTTTATTTCATATTGGAATTGGATTGTCTTCAATGTATTTTCCAAGGAATTGCAGCTGTCTGTAAGCATAGAAGGGCTGGGAAAAGTTAAGTTACATAGCAAATCTGTTTATTTCTGCTGTTTTTTATTAAACTGCATCCTTCAATATTAATGTAGACCAAGAAAAAGATTTGCTACACAAGTGATCATATTGGTTTGCCAGGTATGTTTACAACTGTTCTTTTGTTACGTGGCAAGATAATACAGACATCTGGATCATTGCTAATTCTTGGGTCTGTAGCATGGTGTTACTCTGAATGATGTACAGTGTAAGGCTCAGGCATTCCAAGAGATGCGTAAAGATATTTTATAGGGAAAAAAGTTAATTGCCAATTGATTTATGAACATAGCTTTCTGCAGAACAATGACTGGATTGAGTAGAGTTCAGGAAACTGTGATCTTTTGTGTATTTTTATAGGACAGTTGGATGCAGTTGTGACTGTATAAAGTGTAAAGCTGAAGACTCAGTTTTTGTGATGTTGGCATGGGAAGCTGAATGTGACTTCCTGACTTCTATAGCTTCAGTTCTTCAGGTTCATTCACACTGCAGCTGAGAAATGTTGTTCTGCAGTGTCTAATATTGCCCATACACTACGCAAAGAGCTGAAAAGCAGTTATAGTAGAAGCAGGCTTTGGGTTTGCATTAATCAGGTGGTGTGTAGCATCTTTATTCATGTTGTGCCAGTGTAAGCTAAGAGATGCAGTGCATAATGTACTCTGCTCTTGTACTGAATAACAAGTATCACAATCCTTGTTGTCCATGCTATAGGTAAAGAAACTTACAGATTTGACTTGAGCAATAAAGAATAAATGTTGACTGTTAAGCATGGCATTCTATGGTGCAAATTAAAAAGAGAGGGAGAAAAAGTAACCAGTTGTTACTGGAAGGGTGATGACTGTAGGGAGCTTCTCTAGAAAATGGGAAAAAATTTGCTTGTAGGAGATTCTTCTGCTGGGGTTTGGAGAACTCAGGAGTACATTAAGAATGTGTGTGTATATCTAAAAATTAATACTTCACAGTTTTGAGATGAGGGAGTAGAAGAAAATAAAAGTGAAACAGAAATAGAGAGAGTTGTTTTGGAAGTGAGACGTTTCCTATGGAGTTTTTTTTCTGAGCAAGTGAAATATATCTTCATGTTTTTGTGTTGAGTTTGAAATAATTTCTATCTTCTTCGTGCTTTTATTTTTCCATAACCTGTATTTATGACATTATTTTTATTTTAATTTAGTAAAAGTTTATTTAAAACATACTTCAGTAAAAATGGGAAAAATAACCTTAAAGCATGGGTGTTCATATAAAGTCCGTTTAATCTGTAGGTCTTGAATATTTTATTCAGTTTGCTGTTTTTGTCCACATATGGCTACATGTATACATGCATATATAAAAGGTTAATGGATTGTCTGGATTTTCCAATATTACACTGTACATTTTCAGGCATATTTTAAGGCTCTATGTGTCTTTCACATTCCGTCCCAAGCCATAGAGACGTCTTTGTCTAAAGATGTGTACACATTCATGGAGGATATGAAGTTTTTACAATTTCCTTGGCAACCCAACAATATTTACATCACCACGATTTTCTTATGCAATAAATATTTGCAGTTCAACTGGCTGGGACATCCCTAATATCTTCCTTTGAGCTGTATGCCTGGGGTAGCCTAGATTTTTGAACTGTTGTTTCCTGGGCACATGCATGGACAAAGGGCCTGTTGGTTCTCTGTAAAACTGTGTAAATTTGCTTGTTTATTTCATGGAAATGCAAGCAAGAATTATCTGTGGTGCCATAAAAATTTTGTAAGGAGTGCTTATGGGAAACTGGGAAGATTTCCTAGGCAAAATACTAAATCTGTGGCTTTTCTTGCTGCTAGTTCATATTTTCTTAAGAAGTGTTCCCAAGTCCTTCCAAGTCTTTTTCCTCACTTGCTGAGGGCTACTTCGATCTTCGCTCATGCAGTTTTTCTGCTTTTCAGAGTTTATTCATGGAAAAGATGTTGCTGGTGTTTCTAACTAAGTATATGATCAAAGTATAGAGACAAACAGATGCAGGAGGACATCTTGGTTCAGCTCACAGAAGGATGGTTGTGTGGATTCAGAAGAGCCTTTCAGGAGTGAGTGCACCTAGGCTGTAAGAGTTTCTTTTCTGTCTTAGGGTCCAGGCTGGATTGTAATGTATCTAAGAGCTCCAGAAGTTCATGGCTCTGCTGTGGCTGCTGGTTTGTCCCTGTGTCAATATGTGTTGCTGACCACACACTATCATTGCTTGGACCCAATTTCATAATGAGCTGAGGACCAGTGACAGGACTTGAGAAAATGGCCTGGAGCTTTGTCAGGGGAGGTTGAGATTAGACATTAGGAAAAGCTTCTTCACCCAGAGAGTGGTTGGGCACTGGAAGTAGTCACAGCAACAACTGACAGAGTTCATGGAGCATTTGGACAATGCTGGGAAGTGGACTTCAATGATCCTTGTGGGTTCCTTTCAGCTCAGGATAATCTATGATCCTCTGATTCTATGAGCACCTTATGCCCTGAAGGAAAACGCAGTTTTCTGGAGGGAAAATATTTCGTTTTCTGAGACACAAAAAAGGAGAGGTCTACCTCAGCTGGCGGAGTACTGAACCCGGGGACTGCAGGATTCTACAGGCGTAAAAACACGGAATGACATCCCCAAGGCCGGCAGGATGAGCCCGAGCAGCCATGGGAGGGCGGCAGAGCCTCAGGAATGGAGAGAAGCCACTGGAAAACAAGTTCGGCAATAACAGGAGCTACTAACAGGGGTCGGTATATCCCACAGACAAAACAGGAAATGAGCTCAAATTCGACTCACTTCTGCTCTTATTTCCATGGGTCATTCTTTAATTATATCCATCCAGATTAAGCCATAAGGTTCTTGGGGTAGGAACTTGTCTGAACGATGTATTGTTAGGCACACCTATGACACTGCAAATAATTAACTGCTGTAATTGTTGTGCTTGTAAATCACCCTCACTTGACACTGCTATGGGACAGTTACTGACTGTATCGAGTGTGGCTGTGTCAGCCAGAATAGGACCTTGAATCAAAAACTAGGGAACGCTAAGCCCTCATTGACAAATGTAGTTTATTGCTTTGAAACATTTGTAGAAGGAAACCAAAATGTTACCCATTTAAGCTCTTCCTCTAAGTACTTCCTGGACAAGAATGACCAAACTGCCAAGGATAATTCTTCTCAATTGAGAGATTTGGGACAACCAGATTCTAACCAGGTTCTATTGGTTAGACCTCTGTATTAAAACCAGGAAGAAGTGCATTAGCTCTTGTGAGATCTTGTCAAGTTTTTAATCTATTTCACCATCTTTT